AAGAATGGGACTGGCAATTTATTAGTCAAATATATTCACATAGTGAGGAAAAGCTGTGTCCTCAGCCTCCTGGAATGCTCTAGCTTTTTCCTTTTTTCATCCCTGTTGGTCTGTTGCAGGCTAAGGACCAGAAGATGAATGCTCATAGGGTTGACTTGTGTGCTCCAGTCCTTTGGTGATGGCAATGGCCTCTTGTGGGAGTTTTGTCCTTTACCTTTTTCTCTCCCTCTGAGCTTCAGTCTTGGGAATGGAGACTTTCTGGCTTCTGTCTCACCCATTCACTCATGTAACCTTCATCTGCAAGGCCCAGACAAGGGGTCCTGCCATTGGGCCTTTAACTGTTTCTGCAACAGGCTTGCCAGTCATTTCTGCTCCTTCAGCCACCACACTTGGGCTACTCTCTGGGGAGAGACCAGAAGCTCCTCTTGGCATCCTGGATGTACCCTCTGAGCACAGGGACATGCTTGTAAGCAGTTGCCCCAACTACCTAAAGCTCCTCTGAGCACACCTGCCATGGTGTGCTGGTTCCATGTCCGCCTGGATCCATGAAGGAGGCTGCTCCTGCTTGTGCTGTGTTAATGTGCTCTGAGTCTGCAGACTTGGTGGCCTGTGTGTCCACAGCACGGGCTGTCATGCTTGTTGTTACCACTGCCGCTGCCCCTTCATTGAGCACTGGTTGCATTACGATTAGAATGAAGAAGAGTGTACTTCCATGAACACACATGTGCAGGAGATGTGTTGAAAAATTTTCCCCTCAGCATAATCAGAGGAGGTGACCCCAAATACTTTGGGGACTGTGGGAAGTTCCTGATGCCAGCCTGATGCAGATCCCCTTCTCAACAGAGCACCATGGCCCCTGGGCTCTACCTCACACACAGGTATGCCCATTGTGTCCTCAGCGGGGAAGGCCTGGGTACAGATATAAGCCTCCTTGGTGGTCTTAGGGGATAAACAAGGTTTTCCCACATCTTTTGCATCTGCAGGGGCACAGCTGCAGGTGACATGAGTGGCCAGTGGCAAGCTTCAGTTGGAACTGTTGTCATGACTGTGGATGGCTGTCTTTACAAACCTCAAGGAGGCACCCCTGTTGCCTCCAAGGTCTTTATAGGCCTGCAGCCTCTACCATGGACATCTCAGCCACTTATTTTTTATTTCTCTGTTTATTTTTAGATGGAGTCTTGCTCCGTCACCCAGGCTGGAGTACATGGCATGATCTCGGCTCACTGCAACCTCTGCCTCCTGGATTCAAGCAATTCTCCTGCCTCAGCCTCCTGAGTAGCTGGGATTACAGGTGCTTGCTGCCACACCTAGCTATTTTTTTTTTTTTTGTATTTTTAATAGAGATGGGTTTGACCATGTTGTCCAGGCTGGTCTAGAACTCCTGACCTCAGGTGATCCACCTGCCTCAGCCTCCAAAGTGCCTGGATCACAGGTGTGAGCCACCATGCCTAGCCTCTCTGCCACTTCTGGTCAGGCCAGCAGCATGGCATCAGGTCTTTCCTGGCTGAGGCTGGTGGATACAAGGTCCACAGCCACCATTCCCATGGTATATATGCATGTATATCACTCCTCTTTTGTTATCTGGACAAAGTATCTTTCAAAAATCTGTTAAATTAACTTAATTTTGGCCTGAGGATGCCTCCATACTTTGAGTTTCTGTGTCAGGAACCACAACCTAACTTAGTAGATAAACAAACTGAAAGCCTAATTTAGGAGCATATTTTTGTAACAAATAGCTGTGTCACAGCCAGTCATAGCAACAGAACTTCTGCTAATCACAGGCTACCCACTGATCAGAACATGTCCAAAAAAGGCAAATGCCTGCTTGTAACCAATCAAGCTATTTCTGTAGGGTACTTCCAGTTTTCTGTCTATAAATAATCCCTGACCAGGGAGCTCTCTGAATTTCCACTTGTTCTGGGTGTTGCCTGATTCATGAATCATTCTTTGCACAATTAAACTCTGTTCAATTTAATTTGTCTAAAGCTTTTTCTTTCAAGAGAACGATTCGTACTTGAAAACAGTACACTCTTGCACAGTTGTCCCTGGAGCTTCCCCGTGGAGTTAAACTTGCCCTCTGCTGGCTGTTTTCCACAGGGTAATATGGTTACATAGATTCGTGGTTCCTGGCAATGTTTCATTAAGACAACTCTTGGTGGCTGCTCCACACTTTTCTCGCCACATCTTAAAGGCTGCCGCTGAGCCAGGTCTCCCTGGAACCCAGGGCTCCTGCACAGGCCCCCATTTTGTTCCAGAACACCCAGGAAGCGAGGCGTGGGCTGGAATGGGCACACCAATTACCCTCTACTCTGGCCTTTGGTGCTGACCCATGTCGATCCTGGCACCAGGATTGAGACTGTGCCCATCCCGTCGAGGGCGCAGAGATGTGGGGGGCAGGCAGATGAGGGGGCACACTGGACTCCCAGTGCAACACCTAGAACAAGTGGGAGTTCAGAGAGCTCCCTGGGCAGGGATTATTTATAGTCAGAAAACTGGAAGTACTCTATAGAAATAGCTTGATTGGTTACAGGGCCTCCCAGGTTAACACCCATTCACAGCATCTTGAGCCCAATCCACTATGCTCACCTTCCTCTGATCTCTCCACCTAAACCATCCTTCTACCCATTGTCACCTATCACCTATTACATCACTCCACCCTTTGTGCTCACATCTCCCTCCCCACCCACGATGCATTGGTCCCTGCCCCGCAACACAAGGGAAACCCAGTGCCAAGTGCCGGAGGAACCTGTGAAGCCCGTGTAGACACTGCCTCCACAGGGCTGGCCCACTCCTCTGAGGGCTGACTCGGGTGGTTTTAAGTTGCAAAATAAAAGATATCACCTATGGGTCCCAAGGCTTCATTTTCACTGGATGGCAGGAAGGTGTTTGTTCAGAGATTGTAGTCTCCCTGAACTGGAATGTAATCCCAGCACTTTGGGAGGCCGAGGCGGGCGGATCACCTGAGGTCAGGAGTTTGAGACCAGCCTGGCCAACATGGAGAAGCCCCGTCTCTATTAAAAATACAAAAAATTAGCCAGATATTGTGACGGTCATCTGTAATCCCTGCTACTCGGTAGCCTGAGGCAAGAGAACTGCTTAAACCTGGGAGTAAGAGGTTGCAGTGAGCTGAAATTGTGCCATTGCACTCCAGCCTCGGTGACAGAGCTGTACTCCATCAAAAAAAAGGAAAATGATCTATTACAACCCTCTCCTCCTACATAAAGTTGGAGAAATTTCACCCATGGGTGAACAGAATCAAGGGGCTTACCCTTTGGTAATTTAGTTTTTGACATTACCACGGGAACATGGTGTCCCACCCATAATGTCAGGTGATTAGATAGACATTAGCAGCTGGGAGAGGTGAGAGAGGAGGGTAGATGGGCTGTCACTAAACAGGCCCTGGCCCACCTAAGTTCAGCTGCAAGATGACCCTATCTCCACCCTGATGGGTGGCGCTTGTGGTAAAGTCTGTGACCAGCACATCCTGGAGAAAGAAGAACTGGGCACAGATAAAAATTCCCTAACATGGCACATGCCCAGTCCATCTAGGCCGTAAACCCAGGTAAGCCTATCCTCATTATACAATCATTATAATAAAATTTACATGAGGTTTTGGCCCCGTGAGTAGGCTTTCCTTAACAAATTATGAGTAAAGAAGTGCAGTGTAACTTCAGTGATATAAGCATAAACTGCTAATCAAATTACATAATCCTGTCACTCTAATATAGCCCAAGCCTCAACTCCTTCCTAGAAACTGAGTAAAAGCACCCTGAGCTCTATAAAGAGAGTCTGATTTCTTTTCGCAGGTATCAGTCTGCTCTCCCTCTAAGAGTATATTACTGTGCTTTAGAAAGCTTTGTTTTGAGCCTGCATTTTGGTGTTAGTTGGCAATTCTTTGCTCACTATCACAAGAACCGAGACTGCTGGTCCAGAGCTTTAACTTTGTTGATCTTGGTTAAAGGATTCATCCCATGGGAGGATTCCAGGTAATGATACCATCTTGGCAGTTGCCAATTTTCCTGTTTATATATGGGGATCCATTTTGTTTCCACATAAACACAAAACAAGCTTGGTTTATCATATAAACAACTCCAAAGCATTCTTTAAAGCAAGCTGTTTATATAAGTAGATACAAATGAAAGTTGAGTACACTCAGTGACTGCTGGCTGTATTTGAGCTATCTACTCATATTTTGAATCATCAATTTTAAGGAAAACACAAAAGGAGGTGTTTCAGAATTCCTCATGCTGCTCAGGAGGTTTGATCTAAATCTAGGAAAGCCACTTTATATGGGAAAGACCTTCATCATTTAGGTCTAAGTTGATGTCATTGGAGACAATGATATAGTGGCAACTGAATTCGTAAATCCTCTAAAGCCAAAAGCACTTGTAGCAAAGTTACTTTGGGAATAAGATGTTAGTAATAAAAAACTGGGGGTGCTGAGGCAGGTGGATCATGAGGTTAGGAGATCGAGACCATTCTGGCTAACACAGTGAAACTCTTTCTCTACTAAAACTACAAAAAATTAGCTGGGTGTGGTGGTGCGTGCCTGTAGTCCCAGCTACTCAGGAGACTGAGGCAGAAGAATCACTTGAACCCAGGAGTGGGAGGCTGCAGTGAGCTGAGATCATGTCACTACACTCCAGCCTGGGCAACAGAGCAAGACTCTCTCAAAAACAAACAAATAAATAAAAACCCTGTTGGCTCATGCCTGTAAGCCCAGCACTTTGAGAGGCCAAGGCAGGCAGATCACCTGAGGTCGGGAGTTGGAGACCAGCCTGGCCAACATGGTGAAACCCCGTCTCTACTAAAAATACAAAAAAATTAGCTGGGTGTGGTAGCATACTCCTGTAGTCCTAGCTACTCTGGAGACTAAGACACAAGAAATACTTGAACCTGGGAGGCAGAGGTTGCAGTGAGCCAAGACTGTGCCACTGCACTCCAGCCTTGGTGACAGTGGTTCTGCTCAGAATCAACAACAACAAGAAAAATCTACTTACCATTAATACATTGGGACAATTTATTTTCTTCTTCTCTGTTACGGATTGAAGGTTTTTGTTCCCCAAAAAATTCATGCGTTGAAATCTGATCCCCTGAGTGATGGCCTTAGGAGGTGGAACCTGTTGGAAATAATTAGGTCATTAAGGTGGAGCCCTTGTGACTGTGATTAGTGTCCTTATAAGAAGAGGCCAGAGAGCTAGCTCAGTCTCTTTCTATCAAGTGAGGATACAACAAGAAATACACAGTCTGCAACCCGAAAGAGAGCCCTCACCAGAACCTTACCATGCTGGCACCCTAATCTCAGATTTCTACCCTTCAGAATCAGAAGAAATTTCTGTTGTTTGTAAGCCACCCAGTATATGGTATAAGGTTGGTACAAAAGTAATTGCAGTTTTGCCATTACTTTTCATGGCAATTGCATCAGCCTAATACTTTGTTACAGCAGCCCAAGCTAAGACATCCTGTCTTTCTCTTATACTTCCCATTTGGTATGTCAGACAGTCCTTTTGACCATCTTACTCTTTCTCCTCACAGCCAACCCCCACCACTACCACCCTGGCCCAAGACATTAGCATCTATTGTTTTATTTATATGTTTTTATTTATTTATTTATTTTTGATACCGAGTCTTGCTCTGTTGCCCAGGCTGGAGTGCAGTAGCGCTATCTCAGCTCACTGCAACCTCTGCTTCCCAGGTTTAAGCAACTCTCCTGCCTCAGCCTCTCAAGTAGCTGGGATTATAGGTGCCTGCCACCTCGCCTGGCTGATTTTTGTATTTTTAGTAGAGATGAGTTTCACCATGTTGGCTAGCCTGGTCTCGAACTCTTGACCTCAGGTGATCTGTCTGCTTGGCCTCCCAAAGTGCTGGGATTATAGGTGTGAGCCACTGCACCCAGCCTAAAACACTCGTTTTAAAATTAAGACAAGTTTGGATATTCTTTAGGTAAGAGAAATAATTTTGCAAGTGGAAACAGATATAAAGTTATATTCAGTAAACTATATATACCATATATGTATATGTCAATCAAGAAAGCAAAGAAAGCATTAATAATTTGAATACAGACTCCAACATTATTCACATTATAGTTTTAAAGTGCTTCCTAAACTCCTGGGAATATCAGCAAAGTCTGAAGATTTTAGATTTGGTGGGATGCTTATATATGCCAAAAGATCTCAGAGTTATTCTCGACTCCTCTCTTTCTCTCACCTGGCATCTGATCTGCCAGAAAATCCTTTTGGGTCTACCTTCAGAGAATATCCAAAATCGGACCCCTTCTCATCTCTCCCCGACCACCACCCTCCCCGAAGACACCAGCATCTCTCTCCTGGATCCATGCATCAGCCTTCTAAGCAGCCTCTGCTTTGATCATTTCACCCCTTTTTTCCGCTACAACACAGCAACCAGAGTTGTCATCTCAAAACTCCAACTGGATGCTCTTCCAAACACAGTGTCTGCTTCTGACTGCACTCAGAAGAAAATTCAAAGTCCCAACTGTGACCTGGAAGTTGGCACTTGATGTGCCCTTACAGTGCAACCTCTCTGACTTCATCTCTGGCTGGAATCCCCAATCTTTACTAGTGTCCAGGTACACTGGTCTCTTCTGGGCCTTTGTCATTTCTGTTCTCCTTGCCTGAGATGCTCTTCTGCTAGATAGCCCCAAGCCTCCTTCCTTTAGACTTTTATGCAATGCCACCCCCTCTGTGGTGACTTGCCTGGTCTTCCTATCCCCTTTACCTATTTTTTATCTTTAGCAACTATCCCTAATATACTGTGGATTTAATTTATACTATATATTTGGTTTTGTACATGTTATATATTTCATTTATACTGTATATTTGATATAATTTATTGTTTGTCTTCTCCAAATATTAATTCCACAAGGGATTTAACTTCTTTGTTCACTGCTGAATAGTTGATGCTTGGGACACATAATTGATCTTCAACTTAAAAAATGGTTGTATGAACAAATGAGAAAAAGGCTCTGGTGCTACACACAGAAACGTGTTTGCTTTGATGCTTAGCACCTGACTGTAATGGTTATGGGCACTTGTGCCACAACTAGAAGGAAGAGTGAAGCCTATGGATTAAGGATGTGGACTGGTAGCTCTAACATGGTTTCCTAGGACAGGATCTAACAAAATATTATTTGTAAGAGAGATAAGTTGTAATATCCAGCTTCTTGAAAAAAAAATCACTAGCTCTAGTGACCAACACTAAGTGACTTTACGCCTTTGCTAAGTTCCTGAACATAGTGAAATCGGGTAAATCCCTCATGCCCTTCAAATATAGAGGATCCCCTGCCACTGTTCTCCTCCTATATCGTTTTGTTTTATACATTCCCAGGATTATATGGTGCAGTTGGGGTTTCACCTAGTTTGGAGAACGAAGGCATGCAGTGCAACTTTACCTGGCACATTTTCAGCTCCTGTGTGATTTTTAAAAATCTGAGTTATTAGGTAAATCGTAAAGGATTCGGAATTGCAGTTCATAAACTAACGAGTGACATGGATAAGAGAAATACATCTATAATTTTGTATGAAAGACTGGAGTAAGTTATTTGGGTGGGGAGGATGTTTGGTGAAGAAGGTCAAGTACGTTAAGTAGAAAAACACCTGTGACTTTCTTATGAATGGAAGAGTTCATAACCAGGGGAAGAAACTGTGTAGGATCAGAGTCAAGACAAAGAAGAAATGGCAGAACAACCAACCAGGTCAATGGCTTAAAAAGTCAAGAGAAACAAGATGAGAAGCAAGATGTAGAATAAATCAAGTCAATGTACATTACAGATAATTTTTAGTCAGTTTCTAGTACATGTTTTAGGACAGGTGTGGACCTTGAGCTAAAGAGAAGGACTTTGGATGAAAGAGAAGGATGCACATCACTTCTTCCAATTCTGAAGTCATTAGAGGAGGGGACATTATTTTCAAACTTCAGTGAAATTAAGTAGAAAACACGAAGGCCTCTTTTCTCTCGCATGGAACACTAATGTCTCCATATATTTGGATGGCTATGACAAAAATACCCTAGACTGGGTAATTTATAAACCAAAATTTATGACTCACAGTTCTGGAGACTGAGAAGTCCAAGATGAAGGGACCAATAGATTCTTTGTTTGGTGAGGGCCTATTTTCTGTTCAGAGATGGTGCCCGGTGGCTGTGTACCCACATGGAAGAAGGGAACAGGAGGCTCCTTCATACTCTTTTATAAAGGTACTAATCACATTCAAGAGGGCTCCACCCTCATGACCTAATCACCTCTCAAATGACTGCCTCTTAATATTATCACATCTAGAGATGCCAACATATGGGAGGACACCAATATTCAGATCACAGCAAATAAATATCACAAAGGTGAACAAGATATAAAAGGCTTCTGAACAAGTCCGAGGAATAATGGATAAATTAAAATACTACTAAGGGGATGGTCACAACGGCCACACCTGCAATCACAGAACTTTGGGAATGGGAGGTGGGAGAATCACTTGAGTCCAGAAGTTTGAGGCCAACCTGGGCAACATAGTGAGACCCCATCTCTACAAAAAATTGTAAAGGATTCAGCTCATGCCCAGCTGCTTGCGAGGCTGAGGTAGGAGGATCAATTGAGCCTGGGAAGTTGAGGCTATAGTGAGCTATGATCATACCACTTCACTCCAGCCTGGGTAACAGAGCAAGATCTTTGTGGGTGGGCTAATTTAACAATGATTTTCTAGTGTCTTCTTGGTGCCTAGGTGCTACTAACACATCAGTGAACAAGATGTACAGAAATCCCAAATCTCAAGGAGCGTACATTCTGGAGGCTGGAGACAAGTAATGTGTATGTAATATGTCAGATAATAACTGCTGAAGGCGAGGGTGTGGTGGCAGGGGGTGCAACAAGGAAGGAGGATGGAAAGTACCGGGGGATTCATACATGTAGCACATTCTTAGAATTTGTTCACTAATCCTATGTCTACTTTTTAAACATCTTGATGCAAGGAAATGTATTCATTTAATCAATTTGACTACAAAAAAAAAATAGGCACACTTAGTATTTCTAGATCCTTCAGAGTATTAGAAATTAAGAATAAAGCATAGCACCCTTTATAAGGATAGTGGCCCTTGCGCACTTTGTGTACCCTGTAGGGATAACAAAAAAATATGTTTGCAATGAGCAGTAAACAGTACTTGGTTAGATGGTAGTCACTGCAGGCAACTTGCTTTAAACTTGCACTTAGTATCAGCTCTATTTAACCTACTCAGGTAGGTTGTCCTCATTAGGACTTTTTACTTGGAACGCTATTATAGGAATCATATATTCTATTTTTAGCATCTTACATAAACTTTCTCACAAATGCCCAAGTTATATAATCAGCTCTCCCCTGCCCCTCCACCCCCAGCTTTCTTTCAGCCTCCCACAGTTTTATATTAGGGGCAAGGTGTGAGTGCAATAGGGGATCCCTGTACAGTGACTGCAGGTGTTCAGGTCTCAGAGACTGGTTCCCTCTCTCTAAACAGGGATGGGTGTGCACCAAGAAAATGTGTTTCTTGATATCTTTCTCTTCTATTCTCAGCCCCCACCTACTGTTACATTTTCAGCAGGTATCACACTGTTGTGCTTCTCAGTCTGGGAGACACTCTGTCTCCTAATTGCCTTCAAACCAAGCCCTGGGGCTTGGCTCCAGCTGCAGAAGGCACCTTAGGGATAGTTCCAGTTCCCTCTTTCTACAGACAGCAAACAAGGCTCAGGGAAACCAGGTGACTTCTTCCCCAGCATAGAGGCATAAATACGTCAGCACCAGGTGTCCAGATTCCCTGGCCGGTATGACTTCTACAAAACTAGCAGCTTCTCAGCTCTCAATTTTCTCATATATATATAAAATGAGAGGTGGCTGGGCACGGTGGCTCAAGCCTGTAATCCCAGCACTTTGGGAGGCTGAGGCGGGTGGATCACGAGGTCAAGAGATCGAGACCATCCTGGTCAACATGGTGAAACCCCATCTCTACTAAAAATGCAAAAAATTAGCTCGGCATGGTGGCGCGTGCCTGTAATCCCAGCTACTCGGGAGGCTGAGGCAGGAGAACTGCCTGAACCCAGGAGGCGGAGGTTGCGGTGAGCCGAGATCGCGCCATTGCACTCCAGCCTGGGTAACAAGAGCGGAACTCCGTCTCAAAAAAAAAAAAAGAGGTATGAAAGGGTGGTCTCTAGAGCTCCTCCATCTATGTATTGTATATAAAAATGCTACTGGGGACCAGGCATGGTGGATTATCCCAGCGCTTTGGGAAGTTGAAGCAGGGGAATTGCTTGAGGCCAGGAGTTTGAGCAGCCTGGGCAACATAATGGGACCCATCTCTACAAAGAGTTAACAAAAACAAGTTGCTGGGCATAGAGGCATGTGCCTGTAGTCCCAGCTACTCAGGAAGGCTGAGGTGGGAGGATCACTTAAGTCCAGGAGGTCAAGGCTGCAGTGAGCTATGATTGAGTCACTGCATTGCAGCCTGGTGACAAAGCTAGATTGTGTCATTAAAAAAAAAGCAAGCTGTTAGGTAGGTACTGTTTATATGAAACTTTATAGTTTACTCTCTTTGAACAGGACGTTATCAACTGAAATGAATCAGAAATGGGACATATTTTGCTTGGACTGACAAATTCAGTTTCTTTTTTAATGATAAGAACGTAAAGCGACAAATGGTAAAATCACCCACAGCAAAAAAAAAAAAAAGAGGTTCAAATACACATCTTCAACTGAGATGTATACAAGAAAAGCACTGTGCTATGTTACTCTTAAATCAGAGTTTACCAAACTATATCAGGAAAAGTCTTATGGTGTGGCAGTGGGAGGCAGGGATAAGCAGGCAATGATGGTGATAAGCATTTTCCAAATTAGGAAACAGATACGCTTTTCTTCTTACTCTCTTACATAACTGATCTATTTTAGAAGACAACACTAAAAAACCGAAACAGAATACAAATCTCATAATTTTACTACTTTGTTAGCAAAGAATGACACAAGCAAGTAATGGGAAGGAAAAGAAGAGAACTCTTCACTCCATTATATTCTCCCAGCTAGTGGCTGTTTAGCAGGATTCCCTCTTCTCCATCACAGCCTGCTGGGTGACTCAGAGACCTGTCTAAATTTTAGGAAATAAATGAAGAAGGATACTAACTCTTCTCGCCTTTGAATTCAACTAGCAGTCACATCATCGTGCAACTTTTTGGTAGCAGAGAATGATGGAAGAGTGACCTGTGACAGTGCCAGTGACTACTTTGCCTAGACTTCCTGATTCAGAGGGAAGTTATGCAGCACACAGAGGCCACAGCGGCAGTACAGCCTCTTACATAAATAAGTTACATAAATGAGAACAAGTTATGTAAATGTATAAACCAGCAAACATGAATTATAACCATTCACAAATGCCAAGGAGAACACTGCAAGATTCCTCCTACAGTCCCATTTTTTTTCTCCCACACATTATCATAATTGTGTCATTTTATTTCACATCACAATCAGATGTGGTTGTCATATTTATTAGGGGAAGGAACTCCAAAGGACAAATAATACTTCACATTTTTTTTTTCTGAACCACATATTGTACTTTTGGCAGAAATCCCATAATGGAACCTGACTTTATATTTGAAAAGAAGTTTATGAGTTGTTATTAATTTATGATACTCCTTGTATAAACATGAATGCATTGATTAAATATTTACTCTTGTACATTTTGCAAGTTGCCATTAAGAATAAGAATGCGTCACAAAATGAATGTGCGTATACACATAGGTATTTGTTATATTATTTGTGACTTCAGGTCTCAAGGGATATGTGGGCATCAGATGAAAGTCACTGTTCTGCTTGTTGCGGGAAGGTAGTAATTTAGGGGGTTAGGATTGGAATTAAGGTTATCCTCATGAATTAATCCAAATGTTTCACATGCCAAATGCTTAGGAGGTGCTCTTTGGATCTGGCTGCAGTTTGGTTCAGGTGCAGTATGAATGATAAATGAACTTGTTTGTGTCTGCATCCTGTTGGAACAGGAGGCTTGGCTTTTTCTCAGGCACCTCTTTTGTATTCATTCCCCTTAGGGTAATATAGCTTTATCTTTTCTGAAGTTACACGACTTGCTCATTGTGTAGGGAAAACATACTAACTCAAAACATCTTTTAGCCTCCTCTGTTCCTTATAAAGAGACATAGTAAACTTTTGCTAATTTCAGATATAGCATGTTCAGATGAACTCTCCAATTAGCAACTTCCTTTACTTTGAAAACCTCATTTTCTATGAAATATTACATATGAATTATTACATATGATTAGTCTAACGTAGTTAATAGTGGAATAGACGTGATCTTAAAATCTATTAGATTCTGTGATTTTGAACAATTAACTTTGTTTCCAAAGATTTGAAAAAGGACTAAAAATTCTAAGTGACTCCCCTAATTCTAATATCCTATAATCAAATCTACAAATATTTTCAGCGGAGAGCTTTAAATTTGCTGCTGTGAAGTTTAAGGAAAACAGAACCCATTTTATATCAACCCTATCATTTTCTTCTGTCGGCAAAGCTGCAGACCCTGCTTTGGTTGTAGTAATATGGTGACCGCCATGTGAAAAACATTTTTCTTGATGTTTTCTTTTACGAATGCCAAATATAGACTTTAGCCAGCTGTAGGGCAGTTCTCGAGGTGTGGGGACACCTAAGGAAACTGGGGGCTTTCTCCCTCGAGGTGCGTCGGGGATGAGCTTTAAGCAGGGCTGGAGGCAGTCAACCGGGCACCAGGAAACACACCTTACCCTCTGGAGGAAGTCGCCCCAGGAACGTGGGTTTTTTGTTCAAGTTTAAAGTTGAGGCCTCTAGACCCGAAGAGTCCGAGTCATCGGGCTACGGTGCCCTCCTAGACCCCCTGCTTAGGCGCGCCCACCTGGAACCCAGGCACAGACGAATGAAAATGTAGACCCGCACCTGACAAGCACTAGGCCACGCCAGGAGAATCCCGCCCGCCAAGAGTTGGGGCAGGTCCCGCCTGGGCGGGCGCCTCGGGAGAGGGGTGGAGACCCGAAGTCCCCCGCGGCAGGGGAGTGCCCTCCAACCAGGCAGGGGCTCGGGCCACCGCAGACCGGGGACGTCGGCGGCCAGGCGAGCGGGGTCTAAGGCTCCCTGCTTCTTCGGGCTTTGTTCCGTCACGAGCCGAGTCCTCCATTCCGGAAAAGCCGATAGCTCTCCGCCGGGAGATTCATCCGATCTGCGTCTCTCGCTGGGAGCGGGCTCGGAAGGGGCGGGGCCCAGCGCTCGGCTCCTTGGTAGCGCGGCCGCGGGCGGCGTGAGGGAGTCCCGGGTGCAGTCGCCAAGCGGGCCCCGCCCTCGCCAGGCCCCGCCCCCGGGGCTTCCCGGGCGCGCGCCGCCCCGCCGTGTCCGCGCGCCACGCCCCCCTGCTCGCGGGCCGCGTGCGGAGCCGCGCGCCCGGGAGGCTCCGGGACCGTGGCGGCGGGCGGCGGCGGCGGCGGCGGTGGCGGCGGCGGAGCAGCCCTCCGCGGGCCATGTCCTCTCCGGCGGTGGCGAGGAGCTCCCCGGAAGGGAGTCGGGAGATGGCCCCAGCGCCGCAGGGCCGAGGCCGGTTCTGGGAAGTGGGCGGCGGCAGCGGCCACCGGCTGGAGCGCGCGGTCGCGGAGTCGGATCGCTGGGAGCTGCTGCTCCGCCGCGGGGAGCTCCTGGCGCTGGGCGGCCACCTGAAGGGCGCGCTGGAGGCGTTCGCGGCTGCGCTGCGCCGCGGGGCCCCGGCCAGGCCTGAGTGCCTGGGTGTCCTGGTGGACTGCCTGGTGTTCAACTACCGGCTCCGCCACGGGCTGAGCTGGAGCGCGGCCCCGACTGCGGGTGCGGACGGCGGCGCCGGCGGGCTCCTCAGCTGCCTGGGCTGCCGGGGCTTCCTGAGCGAGCCGGTGACGGTGCCCTGTGGCCACAGCTACTGCCGCCGCTGCTTGCGGAGGGAGTTCCGCGCTCGCTGCCGCCTCTGCCGGGACCGGCTACCGCCCGCCACCGCCAGTGCCACCGATGCTGAAGGGACTGCCCCGCGGCCGCCGCCTCTGGCCGCCGCCATCGCCGCCTCCGACTTCAGAACCAGCGTCGTCCTCAACCACCTGGCCGAGAAGTGGTTCCCAGGCCAGCGCGAGCGGGCCCGGGCAGCCGGCCGGCTCGGGGAGTTGCTGCACCAGGGGCGCTACCGGGAGGCCCTGGCCGCCGCCTGCGAGGCGCTGCGAGCAGGTGACCGCGCGGGGATGCGGCGGGGCCCGGCCGACCGCACCCTTCTGGCCCCTAGGGCCCGGGACCCGGAGCTCGTCTGCACCCCGGGAGGCTCCTCTGCTTCCCCGAGGCCGCTGGGCCACAGGAGTGTCGGGTCTTGGGGTGCTGGGGGGTGTGGGAGGGGGCGGCGCCCCGGGGTGCTTCGGTCACAATGGGGATCGCCCTGGAAGCCGACTGTGACGCGGCGCGGGGAGGGGCGCTCAGCGCGGGGTTCCCTCGACCGCGGCCTGGCTGTCGGGCGCGCGCGCCGGGCGCGGAGTGGGTGACCGGGACCGAGGCCGCCCCAGCGCGGGATGGGTGGGAGCTGGGCGAGCCCCAGCGTCCGCTCGCTTCCTGCCGCGCGCTTTCCGGGAACTGACTCTCGGGCTGGGCCCGCGGCGGGGAAATTACTGCCAGGGCAGGGAGAGAATCCTCCGCGAGGGGTCAGGCGGCGTCTCCCTTCCCCACCCACAGAAGTCACCGGGAAAATTGGGAGCCGCGGGAGGGCAGAATTGCGTAAGCTGGGGGCGGGGGGCGTTGTGTAACGAGTGACGTCCGGTGGGCGTGGCGGGAGCTCCGCGCGGGCAACCAGCACGGGTAGGACCCGCAGGCCGCCGAGCTTGGGACTTCGGGTGGACCTGCCCTGGGTGGTCCCTTGCTACCTGGAAATTTCTGGACTGGCTCCTCTTGAAAGTTTCAGCTGGCCTGTTTCAGAGCATACTTATTTCCTATCTACTTTCCAGTGCACCTAGTGTATGGTAAAGATGAGGGGGGTTCCCAGATCCGGAGTTCTTTGCCACGCTTCTCTAGGCCTTTCCACTCATGATCAAGCTGTGAGGAAAGGCCTTGTAGGTCTTGAGTGCATTTCTCAGTCTCCAAGAAGCAGCCTCGGCCTCCTAACCTAGGTTAGCACTTTCCTTCCTAAGGTGGTTTTAGGTGCCAAAAGGGGGCAGTGTCAGGTTTCTCTTACATAAAAGAGTTGTTCTTTAAATCGGTAGTTCTCTACCAGGGGGATTTTATCTCCCCTCTCTCAGGGGATCTAGAGCAGCATCTGGAGACATTTTTGGTTGCACCTCTTGTGGGGCTGGTGCTAGTCCCAACAACTAGTGGGAGAGGTGCGGGAAGCTGCTCAGATATCCTAGAGGCTATCAGGCCCCTTGTTTTAAGCGTATTTCAAGATTACAGTGTCTGTCCATTGGCGTGAAATGATAGTTGGGGGAATGATCCCCAAGAAAATAGACATGTAAAATAGCAACTGACTTTGGGTATTACAGGTAAATGTATAGCCTATGTAACTGAAAGGATCATCTTTCGGGTTATCTTTTGCCCCACGTGCTTAGTCATATTGAACTAATGTCAAGATCTTGAGTTTTACCATTAGAGTTCGCAGCACAAATCTCGGAGATTTTTGTATTCTTTCAGCGCCTTTGTGAGGAATAGGCAATTATAGAATGATGGGCTCAAAACAAAAGAAAAGTATGTGGAACACAGAATTCTGATACAGATGACTCTGCCTCTGAGTTAATAAAGAGAAGAGAAACTGGACTCCGCTGTACAGACCACCTAGTCGCTGACCATGGTGTGATTTTTGAAGGGGGGAAGCAGAAGCCAGGCAGTGAAGACTTGTACACCGTCATACAGTTAACTGGTTGAGAGGCAGCACTGAATCTTCTTCCACTTCTCCTAAACGTTGGTTTAGGGTTCATCTTGCCTATAGCTCATCCAATGAAAATGTTTAGTATACCTTTCCAAGGAAGTTTCTTTGGTCACTGAGGCTGAAACTTATGGACAGTACTATTCAATACTACTCACTACTGATTCAGTGATTTGACCTTAAATTGGGTGTTTCACAAGAATCCAGGTCCTCATCCATGGAAGAACAGTGAGCACATTTGCTAATAGAGTTCTAGCTTAACATTCTGTGACCAGTAATATTTTAGTTAACAGAGATTCTGGTTCTTGAATCGAGGATATTATATTTAACAGGAAAAGGCTCTGAAAGATGTAATCTCTCCTTTTTTTCAAGTTGCATAGATTGCACATGGGAATTTTGCCCACTTAGCAACTGAATCCTACTTTTGCAGGAATAGAACCCAAGTCTTCTGACTTTCACCTCCTTAGCTTATTTTTTCCTCACTTTTAGTTCTTTCAGGAATCATTAATTCCACACTTGAAAATGTCTGAATAGCACTAATGAGGATACGTTTTTTAATCTTTTGAATTCTTAATGTGAAGTAACGGGAAAAAATCTTAGAGCTAATAAATTAGAGTTGGCCAATTTATAAGTGTTTCACAATTTTTGGGTGTAAATCAAAATATTAACTAGTAGAGTCATAATCTATTTTTATAATCATTAGGCTTTAACTTCTTTGGAATTGGCAAGCTACCTAGATAGGCATTTGAAATATGTTTATAGAACTGTACAGTTGTAGTTATTAATGACCCTGCCATTATTGTTGATAATGAAAAAGATCTTCCCTATAATTTCTCCATATAATTCCTACAATGAAACAAGTAAATACTATTAACTAGAAAAAATCTAGTCTGCAGTTAGCCCACACACATCCAAACTTATCTCTGCTGGCAGCAAAAGAAAGCTTGAAAACCTTTGCCAAAATCAGAAGTTTCCCATTTAGATTACATAAGTTTCTGTTGAATTGAAATATATTTAGATAACATTTAAACCATTGATCTTTTGGTATTAACCCTCAGATGTTTCATAACTTTCTGTCTTTTTAGTATTCAAGGATATTATGTAAAGTTTTTCCTGCAGTGAATCTCTGTACTTGAGTCTATTGAAATGATCCCACTAAGCCATGCTGTCTGCCTTTTGTGCTTAATGTTTTTTTACACTGACTCGTCTCCTTCCTGTGTGCACCTCTCCCCCAAAAGAAGACAACAGAACAGTATAATTTACAGTTTGTACAGGTTAGAAAAAGAAGATTGTAAGAGGGATGACATTTTGTTTTAAGATATTTGAGTAAGGAAAATTTTATCTTAAATATTAATTCTGTAATCCTTGGCCAGGCATGGTGGCTCACACCTGTAATCCCAGCACTTTGGGAGGCCAAGGCAGGTGGATCACTTGAGGTCAGGAGTTTGAGACCAACCTGATCAGCATGGTGAAACCCAGTCTCTACTGAAAATACAAAAAATTAGCCAAACGTGGTGGTGCATGCCTGTAGTTCCAGCTACTCCAGAGACTGAGGCAGGAGAATTGTTTGAACCCGGGAGGTGGAGGTTGCAGTGAGCTGCAGGTTCCACTGCACTCCAGCCGGGGAAACAGAGCAAGACTCTGTCTCAAAAAAAAGAATTAAAAATAAAAGTGAAAATATTATCATTGATTTGTTACCCAGTATTTTTACATTATTTATATTAATATCATTTGATCTTCACAGAGAATTCTATGGAGTACCATAATATTATCCTCAGAAGGAAACTGAGGCACCTAGGGTAGACATGCAGTGTGGCCTAGTGATTAAAGCTCTGCATACTGGACACTGACACCTGGGTTCCAATCCCAATAAAGCCCTCTGTTCACTCTTCTGCCTTGGGCAGGTTGTCTAACCTCTCTGTGTTTTGGTTTCCTTATCTGAAAAATGAGAATAGTCTCTATTTCATACCGTGTTGTGAGAATCAAATGAATCAAAACCTGCTAAGTGCTTTAAATAGTGCCTGACACAGTAAATGCACAGTAAATATTAATGAAATATTTTTAAAATGTAAAAGTGTGTTATGGCTAGAAGGTGATTTCGCTGAAACTGGAATCTAAACGTCGGGATTTTATATCCTGTTCTGTCACCTGGTAGAGAGTAAAGATTACATCCCGATTTTAGTTTATGCATGTTCATTAGCAGTTGAGCATTCATCAATAAACTACAGATTTGGAAAACTTTAGCTATAAGAAGATCAGTCAAATTATAGGTAAATACTGAATGCATTTAAAGAAAATGTAGAGCATTTTATCTTCAGTAACTCAACTAGGTTAAAGTGAAGAAATTTGAATTTAAGTAATATAGTAGTTTCCCCTTATTTGTGGTTTCAGTTACCCATGGTATAGTATAAAATAGTTTGAGAGACCACATTCCTATACTTTTTATCAAAGCATATTGTTATAATTGTTACGTTCTTTTTTATCATTGTTGCTAATATCTTACCATACCTAATTTATAAATTAAACTTTACATAGGCATCATAGTATATATAGATATCATCCAAAGTTTCAAGCGTCTGTAGGGGTCTTGGAACGTGTCCCCATTGTGTAAATGGAGGCTCCTGTAACTTATTTATGTCCTTACTGTGCAGAGAACTTGAAACAGCAAATAAACATTGATGTCTGTATGGTGATTATCATTCACAAATATTTTCATTTCTATTATCGTAATTGATCCTTACACAAACACACATGAGCTAGGAGGGCAAATATTAGTATCCCTAATTCACAGATTTAAGAAAAAAGTCCCAAGAATTTTAGGTGACTTTCTTAAGGCAAATAAGTGATCAAGTTAAAACTGAAAGCAGAACCCAAAGATGTGCATATTGATTCTAAACGCAAAGTTTATTTAAAAATTAGCATGTAAAACATTAAAGTATTCTTATTTTCATTTAACAAATTTTTATTGAGTAGCTACTATATACCAGGCATTGTTTTGGGTGCTAGAAATATAAAAAGGGGTAAAATAAAGTCCCAGTCCTTGTAGAGTTTGTAATTTTTATTTCCTTTATAATTGCAGCAAACTGAAAATCCCTAGAAAATGGGATTTACTTTGTAATTGACTTCTGCTTAACCAAGACTATATGTCTAATTATTTTCTTTGATTTGTAAGGTACTTCAAGGATTTTTCTTTTATTGCCTCAGGGTTACTAAAAAGATCAATTATAATGGCTATTGATATAAATGATTGAAAAAACTGATAGAAGTGTCCCATTTCAAATGAATAATTTGGTTTTTATCTTATTTTTATTTGTCAAATGCAGAATTT